TAGGTTTTGCATTCCTGGAGCAAAAAAAATGCCAGCTCATGTTGCCAGATTGACAACCAACACGAGTAAGTCTAACAATCGAGCCTAAAGACTGATTTAAATTGTGTTCTAAATTAAAGCAACGGAACCCGATAGAATGAATATTTTCCATATTAAAAGGAGTTTTTGTTCTAACGAACACCTCCAATTAATTAGAAACGGCTTCTATTTCTCACAGGTGAACAACAGAAAACTGACAATGATCACCTCAGCTACACCTCATGTGCAATATTCAGTGTTAAATGCTAACAATGTGAGTTTGAATGACATTTTACAACACATTTATTGCCATACTACTGAAAGCAGCAGCAGATAGTTCACCTCAGATCTTGAAAATAAAATAAATAAAATGAAACTGTTTGAAATTGAACTTTAGAAAACCTCAAAACCAACACATATCAGTGATTCAGCATCTACATTTAAAGGTTCACGAAACTTTTTTTGAGATATTAACAGATTTGTGTGTGTTGAGCATCAGTTAAGACAATGTTAGCACCTGTTAGCTTTAATTGTGGGAAAACTGGATATTTTTTAGCTTTTGTCAGCTAATTTCAGCTTCCGGGTTTAAAATGTTTTTTGGGGTGGGATCAAAATCATTGTCGTAGCGCAAAACTGCAAGTGCAAAGAGGACGCTTTGTTTTTCATTATTATTCATAGCGGACTGCACATGCTTTCCGAAGGCAAGGCAGACCTGCTAGTGCCAAGCTGTAAGATCCTACCTTGATGACTGAGTGAAACCGCTGCTGTGTTTGCCTAAATCCTCTAGATAACCAGCTGGGCTAATAGTTAAAATAGACAGGGAAAGAGAACTGCTTTCAGACCCGAGGATTGAGGACAAAGTCCTCATTTAGTATTTATATAAACACAATTATCTTTACAATTGTATAAATTGTGGTTATGTGTTACCATTGAAATTACCAATAACAAATGTAGCAGGGCATTAAATTAGTGTTTTTGTCTTTGCAAACTATAAAATCATGCATCTCACGGTTTGTGTCTCATTTTGTGAGCCGAGTGACAACAGTTGTTTGCTTCCCTGCTCTGCTGGCCACGCCCACTCCTGCCCTTTGCTCGTGGAGCTCCACGCCCATTAATATGCATCTTTGAATTCTGAGGTAGACCTGAACCGAAAGTGGGTGGGTGTCATGGCCCTTTAATAATGTTAATATGTATTAATTAGGTTATGAATCTTACCATTTCATGAGTGAGTGCATATTCTGTGCTTCTGAATAGCTGTATTTCAATTTCTGTCATGTTTTGTTCGGCGCAAACAGCTAAATTGCTCATCACTGCGTATCTCGTCATAAAGCGTGTTAAGACACGCGGTTACAATGTAACTTGCTTACATAATGTTTATGTTCATAATATTTATGTTATTTGCTAACCTCATGTGGAACTCTGAATCTGCATCTCATTTCGGAGTCTGCTACTGTCCAGCGGAGGTCACATACTTTCAGAGCCTTTATGAATGAATCAATAAAACTTGTGGTTTTCCAACAAAGCAACCTGGGATGCTGAAATATAATTGGCTAAACTGGCATTGGGTGGGTTAAAAGAACCAAAACAAAGACAGCGTTCTGATACGAAAAACACATTTTCAAAGCAGAATATCTCACTTCAGCATTGATTTTCAGATAAACAATTATGTTCACTTAGCACGTTACTGAAATATCTGCAAACATATTATGGTATTTTTATGCATCCAAAAGCTTGCATTCAACATCTTCAAAATATTTTTGTCAGTGTGATGCATATAAAAAAACATTACAGTTTAAGGGCTTACAAGACTACAATAGATTGTCAGTGAACCATGTCCTTTCAAGGTTAAATGCTCTTTCCTGCAGGTAATCAGCATTTATCAGCAAAGAAAGGGAAGCCAAAGACCACTTAGTCTCTTGCTGCTGGCCATGACTCGGCTTTGTGCTCCTGCTTGGATTGTTATCAGTAAAGTGACATATGTGTATTTTTATAATGTATATACCAGCATAGTTGAAGGTCTGTGGTGTCTCTGTAGCTGTCTAAGTAGCAAATGTCCTCTGACTCAGCTGGAACTGTTCTGTGGTCAGTTAAGCCTGGTGTTTTACATCAAAAGCTGCCTCAGCATGTCCTGTGTGACTGCCGGGAACTCTGGGCCACCCAAATCCTGTTTATTTACAGCTTCTTATATTTAGGGTTACTTTGTCCAAAAGGTGACACGGTGCCTCAGTGGTTAGCACTGAGCAAGAAGGTTGCTGGTTCGAGTCCTGGCTGGGTCAGTTGGCATTTCTGTGTAGAGTTTGCATATTCTTCTCGTGTTAGGTGAATTGAATAAACTAAATTGACAGTAAGTGTATGTGTATGTGTGCGCGCATGTGAGTGTGTGTGGGTGTTTCCCAGTACTGGGTTGAAGCTGGAAAGGCATCTGCCTAAAACATATGTGGGATAAGTTAGCGGTTCATTCATCACATGAATAAAGGGACTAAGCCAAAGGAAAATGTATGCGTCTAGAAAGTATTCATCATTTACAGTACATGGACATTTCTTTCTTTACTAAATAAAAGCTTTATAAACTGGAAAATATTTCATATTAAACATGATACCTTTCCATAAATGGCAAATATGTGCTTATATTTTTTGTGTACTCTGTGTTCCTTCTGTATCTGTGCCAAATGTCCCCACAAATATAGCATAAAGCTAGTCAATTTTAACCTCATGTGACCTTTTGTTCCCATGAGGAAAAGCATTTTGGAAAAGGAATGCACATTGAAAGTCCTAATAAAGAACTGTATGTGTGTGTCTGCACGTGCGTGCTCAGGGAGGTTTATGAAGTCTCAAATATGTTTAAGGTATTACATGGGTATTACGATGTAAACATGGTTATTGGGTCATTTCACGTGACCTCATAAATCCAAAGGCTTAAAAATCATAAAACTGTGTTTTTTGGAAATTCTCTTGTTATCTGTCTGGATTTTGTTATCTGTCAGGGTTGGGTTAACTTTTCTACTGTATAAAAATCATTTGTCTACTTCTGTGGAGAGTCCCCAAATTACAGAAACAAATGTACAGAAAAGATTTTTTCAACACATTTCACCACATAATAGTTTTATTAACTCATCTCTAATAACTGATTTATTTATCTTTGCCATGATGATATAAATAATATTTGACTAGATATTTTTCAAGACACTTCTATACAGCTTAAAGTGACATTTAAAGGCTTAACTAGGTTAATTAGATTAACTAGGCAGGTTAGGGTAATTAGACAAGTTATTGTATAACGATAGTTTGTTCTGTAGACTATCAAAAAATACAGCTTAAAGGGGCTAATAATTTTAAGCTTAAAATGTTTATTTAAAAATTAAAAACTGCTTTTATTCTAGCTGAAATAAAACAAATAAGATTTGCTCTAGAAGTAAAAAATATCAGACATGCTGTGAACATTTCTTTGCTCTGTTAAACATAATTTGGGGGGAAAAATAATAATAATAATTCAAATGTGGGCTAACTGTGTGTTTATATTTTTCAATTTAGTACCATTATACATTCATAGACCCTCTACTGGTATATAACAATTAAGGAAATATAGGCCTGTAGCCAAGTTCAAGTTCATTTATTAATAAAGCACATTTAAAGGCAGTCACAATACTGACCAAAGTGCTGCACATAAGACAAGATTAAAAAAATAAAAAGACAAAATATAGAAATAAAGCAAGCGAAACGTCTGTAAAAATGTAAAAAATTAGCCGTAGAATGAACTATTAAAATAATCTTAAAAAGCCAAGCTAAAAAGGTATGTTTTAAGACGTGATTTAAAAATGGATAATGATGGAGCCATTCTGATCTCAAGGGGCAAGGTGTTCCTCAACCGAGGACCTGCCACAGAGAAAGCTCTGTCCCCTCTACGTTTCAGCCTAGAATTTGGAACTGACAGAAGATTTTGCTTACTCGACCTAAGAGATCTCACAGGAGTGAAGGAATGGAGCAGCTCTGTGAGATAGGATGGGGCTAGATTGTGGATTTATAAACCAGTAAATGCACTTTAAAATCAATTCTGAATTTCACAGGCAGCCAATGAAGGCCTCTTAGAAGAGGGGTAATGTGGTCATGTTTTCTGCTATTACATATAAATCTAGCAGCCTGGTATATGTTTCTTTTCTTCTCAAAATGTGGACCTTAAATTTAAATACTGAATTTTAGGGAAACTAAAATTTGAAGCACTATTAGCTTGTCGGATGGTTATCATAACATGTACCAAATATTTCCTAAAGATTTAGAATAAAGAAAAATTGACAAATACTTATTTTTAAAATACATTCATTACATCATATAGTATTAGAAAACAAATAGGAATCTGTTCAGGTTTTAAATTAAAAGCCGATTGTCATTTATTAGGCAAATAACAAACTGGCCAGCACACTCAACTTTCCACAGTGAGAATTTGAGCTTTATTGACTAGCCTCTCTTGTAAAACAGTACATTTGATTGAAAATTCATAGATAACAACATTAGCCGAATTAGTTTTCAAATAAATTTCAATATGGGCCACTTTTAGTGCTTCACACCTTTTAATTGGTCATTTTTTGTTTCAGGAATATAAGGTCCAAGATTTAGAATAAAAGTTACTTGTAAATGTTTTCTCTATTTAAAAACAAAAGACGACTTCATCTGACTGTATTTTTTTTGCGCAACTGGATGCTGAAAAATTAGTTTGCATTGGCCAAAACTGATAACTGAAGTCACATGGATGTGACAGTCCGATGATCCGGCTTGGTTTTTAAGCCTTTTTCAACAAGTTATTTTCACAATTTATGATGGTGTAGCAGTCAAAATAAGACAAATGAGCTCATGTAAGGAACAAATTCTGGACCTTTGTCGTTGATGGGTGGTTCTTCTGAACACGGCTACGGGCCAGAAATATGACATAGCTATATGCCAGAATTGAACATTAAACATTTTTTATTACTATTCTTGTCATTCTACAGGGCCAGTATTAGCAGGGATCCATTCTACGACATGTTGGCTACTAGAAAACGGCGAGTGGCCACTAAAAAGTGAAGTGAAAACCTACATCCGGGTTTTAATAATCACTTTACAACGTTCACCCTGGAGGAAATGGACACACGGGGACAAGAGCAAACTGAGGAGAAAGAAGAACAAGACTTTAAAAATATTGGCGTCTCTATGAATCAAGTGCGAAACTGAGGGATGTGTACTAAATAGTTTTCTCCATATGACTTGTATGGCGAATCGAGTGAAGATGGTGTGCTTATATGTTGAATGTTATAATGAATGTTTTAACAACGCTTATAATGTCTGTGTGGGTTCAGTAGAGAGTGAATAGCGCCCCCTGCCGCCTTTAGCAGGATAGTTACAGGACATTTCAATTTGAGATGGCCAAGAAATGTATGTAAAATAGAGTGAACTACTAATAATGATGTCTTTTTGGTTTTCAGATAAATACAGGAGATGAATAGTTGCAGGGAATCATGCTGAATATAGATTTGTGCCGTCATAATATCGAATAATATTCATTATCTTAATTGCATTGGTCGTCTTAAATGGTTTTATGTTCTGTTGTTGTGTACACAGTCATCTAAATCAGCAGGACTGGTTGCATTAACTGCATTAACAATCAAAAGTTATATTTATTATCTTTTTTGTTGTTCTTAATATAAAACACTGTAAAAATCCTCTTTGATAATGAAAATATTATTAGATGCCTTTTCAGAAAATGATACAAGCTGTACTTCTGTTTCGTATTCCTATTTTGGTTTGAATAATTTGACTGTTTTGTTGTATTTATGTAGTCTAATATTGCTGTTGTGTTGTTTTGTTTTTACAGTTTGTAATATAACTCACAAAAGAAGACCACAAAAGCTATTCTTCTTTTCCATTTGAAACTTTTTGGATTTAAAACTAATCTATATGCAATTTTTATTAATCAGCTTGGATATTCTAAGTCAAAGAAACTCATAATTCTACTGGTTTATTGCAAAGATTCTGATATATCTCTGTGGTTAAAATATGAATCAATTGATACGACTCAAATGAAATGTTTCCCTAATTTTCTATTATTTCTGCTGTAAAGTGAACACAGACTCTGGTGCCTGTTTTCGTGCAGCCTTATAATCAGCAAAAACATATGAAAACAATTGGACAAATACATTCCACAAACACTGTCTATTCCTGTTAGCACCAACCTAAGCCATAGCAGCAATGTAATCCATGCCCATTTGAAAACTGAATTATTTTATGAAAACTGTAGTTTTTATGTGATAATTTAATTTGTAAATATCCTCATATTCTGTTGTTATGGTAAATATGCAGCATGCTTATATACAGTTGTCTTTCAGAGCTTTCTGTATGTGTCAGTAAATCATAATTCCTATATCTCAGATGGGACATGGATACGGGTTGTCCTGTCAGTGAAGCCAGTGACCTCAAGATCTGATCTGATTAAAGATTTTTTTTTTTGTCTCGAGATTCACCAGGGATTTGACTTCATTACATTAAAACACACTAGTTCTTTCATACTATATGGAAGTCAGTTGGTATAAGCTACATGCTTTAATGTTTCTTGAATGTGGATAAATGACAGAATTGATGTGAGATGATTCCTTTCAGATTTTCAGTGAATAAATAATAATACAATACTGAAGACAAACTAGTGTTTCAGCCAGCTTGAATTATTATAACTATTAACTGAACCTTTTTTGGGTAGCCATAAACTAAAAATATATTCTGTTTTCTGTTTAGCATAAGAAACTCACCTAGGTTTGGAAAAACATAAAGATGATACATAATTACGGACATTATATATACAGTTGAAGTCAATATTATTAGCTCCCCTTTGATTTTAATTTTTTTAATATTTCCCAAATGATGTTTAACAGAGCAAGGAAATTTTCACAGTATGTCTGATAATATTTTTTTCCTCTAGGGAAAGTCTTATTTGTTTTATTTCGACTACAATAAAAGTCATTTTTAATTTTTTAAACATCATTTTAAGGACAAAAAGTATTATCCCCTTTAAGCTATTTTTTTAAGTATGCAACATTTTAAGTGGATGAAAAAAGATTAATAAAAATTTTCTAAGACAAGAATGTGTTGTTCAATAGTTTTATGAAAATTTTGATGAAAGGGTTTAATCCACCTCAAATGCTGACTACTCTATCTACATAGAAAAAGATTGGTTATTTCAACCCAATTTTGAGTTAAATATGGACAAAACCCACTGTTGGGTCAATTTTTTAGTTGATTCAAATTCTTGGACGAAACGAAACCCACCAATTGGGTTTTTCCATACTTCACACAAATTGTATCTATCTGTAATACATACATACACACATACATACATACACAATTGGTATGGAAAGTATTCAGAGCCCATTCAATTTTTCACTCTGTGTTATATTGCAGTCATTTGCTAAAATAAGTTCAATATATAATAAGTATATTTTTTTATTATAAGTTTTTCCTCATTAAAGTACACACAGCACCCCACATTGACAGAAAAAACACAGACTTGTTGACATGTTTGCAGATTTATTAAAAAAGAAAAACTGATATATCACATGGTCCTCAGTCCCCCATGCAGCAACACTCATATGTTTAAATCGGGTGCCGTCCATTTCTTCTGATCATCCTTCAGATTGAGTCTAGCTGAGTTTCATTATAGCCTGCTGATTGGACTTAATTAGAAAAGCCACACCCCTGTCAATATAAGAACTTACAGCTCATGATGCATGTCAGAGCAAATGAGAATCATGAGGTCAAAGGAACTGCAGAGCGCAGAGACAGAATTGTGGCAAGGCACAGATCTAGCCATGGTTACAGAAAATATTCTGCTGCATTTAAGGTTCCTAAGAGCACAGTGGCCTCCATAATCCTTAAATGGAAGACGTTTGGGATGACCAGAACCTGTCCGCTATCAAACTGAGCTATCAGGGGAGAAGATCCTTGGTGAGAGAGCTAAAGAAGAATCCAAAGATCACGGTGGCTGAGCTTTAGAGATGCAGTCGGGAGATGGGAGAAAGTTGAAGTAAGTCAACATCACTGCAGCTCTCCACCAGTCACGGCTTTATGTCAGACTGGCCTGAAACATGAAAGCCTGCATGGAGTTTACTAAAAAACACTTGAAGGACTCCAATATTGTGAGAAATAAATTTCTCTGGTCTAATGAGAACAAAATAGAACCTTTTTGTTCTTAATTCTAATCGGCATGTGTGGAGAAAACCAGGCCTGCTCATCACCTGTCCAATACAGTCCCAACAGTGAAGAATCATGGTGTGGGGGTGTTTTTCAGCTGCAGGGACAGGACGAATAGTTGCAATTGAGGGGAAAATGAAGCCAAGTACAGGGATATCCTGCAAGAATACCTTCTCCAGAGTGCTCAGGAGTGCTCTCAAAGGTTTACCTTCCATCAAGACAATGACCATAGACGCACAGCTAAAATAATAAAGGAGTGGCTTCACAACAACTCCATGACTGTTCTTGAATGGCCCAGCCAGAGCCCTGACTTAAACCCAATTGAGCATCTCTAGAGAGACCTAAAAATGGCTGTCCACAAACGTTTACCATCCAACCTGACAGAACTGAGAGGATCTGCAAGGACTCACGACTGTATTAGATCAAAAGAGTGCTCCTATACTAAACACTGAGCAAAAGCTCTGAATAAATTTTGTAAACAATTCAGTTTTTCTGTCAATGTAGGGTGCTGTGTGTACAATGATGAAGGAAAAAAGGAACTTAATTTTAGCCAATGGCTGCAATAAAATAAAAAGTGAAAAATGTAAGGGGGTCTGAATACTTTCCGCACCCACTGTATATACACAAAGACATGTTGTGTGTCTTCTCTATAGATGAAAGGGCATATGGCACCAAAAAACAAATCTGAGCTCATTCTTCCATACAGAACCCCTGAATCACTAAGAGGATAAACAGCTGTTTTGCTTGTATTTATTAGGGATGTCAAGATGTCGGGGTGTTGAGTGTACAGGATAAAACAGAAAAAGTTTCCCCCCTCATGAACTTAGTTCTTTTGAAAGCCATCTTGCATTAGCAGCGATAAGATTAGACTGTTTGCATGTTATTGCTTTACAAGTATACTCTAATCTGGGCATTACTGGTTTTGTGCAGTTTTATAGTAAGCTGCTTTGAGTTTGTTTGCACAAACATGACAGCTACAAGGCGCTGAGATTTAATAATGATCATTATAGCCTACTTTAGATTGTTTGCAGTTTCGATCATGTAAAACTGATCTTAATTGTCAATTTATCGAGGGCAATATTTATATCTGGAAGTGATTTCAAGTTTTTATTATATATCAGTGTTGTTACGTCTAATTTAAATAACCAAATACCTCAATCTCAATGTGCACCAACAACAAACCACATAAAACTGATAGTAGATTGTATTATAAAACACCTCGCAAGGCTGCAATACTGACAAAAATAACTAGAAAAGGCAAGTTTGTAGACAAAGAAAGTCTTGACAAAGCCTCGTCTTAGTTTGAAGTAGTTTCAACGTTTAAATAATTAAAGTAGCTTTTAGGAAGTCAAAACAGTTGGAATAGATATTGCTAGACGGTTGTTAAGGCGTTGGCTATTCTGGGTGGTTGCTGAGGCATTGCTGGGGTATTCTAGGTGATTGCTAGGGCTTTCTAAGTGGTTGCTAGTGTTCGGAGTGGTTGCTAAGTAGGCAGTTGCTAGGGTGTTTTGAGTGGTTGCTGGGCAGTTGCTAAGGTATTCTAGATGGTTACTAAGCTGTTGCTAGGCAGTTTCTAGGGTGTTTTTAGTGATTGTTAAAGGGTTAGACTTCTGCATCAAGAGCACACGCTTGCTCCGGTGCAACCTACGTGTGGTCGCAGAGCTCTCGCCGTGACACACACCTCTCAAAAAATGTAACTACACGTCACAATGCACACTCTTTGATTGGTTGGTATCGCTGACAAGTGTGGGTGGAGCTGAGAGCTGTGCGAGCCTGATGGGGCGATTGTTTACAAGTGTTAAGTCCTGTAAAGGAGCTCTGGATGGAAAGTTTTGTTTTGTGTTTACCTTATCATTAAAGTTATTGCACGTGCCCCGGTTTCAACCTCAAAATTAAGAGTTTGAGCCACTTGTACATTGAGGTAGGGTTCAGAAAAAAACACAACACCAGTGAAGAAACTATACACAGAGGAACATAAAACCCTATTGCCAGCAAGCGATTCTGAACTGTTATTGCAGAGCAACACAAACAGCCTGCAGAAATATAAATGCACGACAACGCTCAAAGCATGCGCCATGAGTCACGCTGATCACTAGTCGCAGAAGCATAAACCAAGCTTAAGGTCGGTGTTCTAGGTGGTTGCTAAGCAACTGCTTAGGTGTTCTGAATAGTTGCTATCATAAATTAGCATGGTTCTAGTTTGAATTAGTATGGTTCTACTATGAATTAGCACGTTGCTAGCATGTTTCTAGTATAAACTAGTATGTAATGTAATGTAATGTAATGTAATGTGTATTTATATAGCGCATTTATTGTGTATAGTCATACACCCAAAGCGCTTCACAATCATGAGGGGGGGTCTCTCCACACCACCACCAGTGTGCAGCATCCACTTGGATGATGCGACGGCTGCCACAGGACAACGGCGCCAGTGCGCTCACCTCACACCAGCTATTGGTGGAGTGGAGGGACAGTGATAGAGCCAATTCGGTGGAGAGGGGATGATTGGGAGGCCATGATCGTAAGGGCCGATAGAGGGACTTTGGCCAGGACACCGGGGTTACTCCCCTGCTCTTTCACGAGAAGTGCCTTGGGATTTTTAATGACCACAGAAAGTCAGGACCTCGGTTTAACGTCTCATCCGAAAGACGGCGCCCACTGTATGTAGTATGTTGTTAGCATGGTTCTAATATGAATTAGCATGTTTCTAGCATGTTTTTTATATAAACAAGCGTGTTGTCAGCATGATAAATAGTATGTTGTTATGATTGTTAGTATCGAACCAGCGTCCTTCTTGCTGTAAGACAACAGTGCTAACCACCGAGCCACTGTGTCCCCTTAACCATTTACTAATATGGAGTGTGTTTCTGAAAACCATCGTTAGCCAACTAAGATCGCAAGTTCCGTCATTACAAGCAAAGTTCGTTGATGTGGCGTTTCTCAAAACCATCTTTTCAACGCACATTCGCAAACTGCATCGCAAACTTGTACGCCTGCAACTACACCTCTGAAGCTGTAGTTAGAAACATAGTTCCTGCCTGTGTTCTATTCACAGTTTTCCCCCCATGCCCTATTCACTCAGAACATTCTAACATTAAAACTTGGAATGATTAAAAATAAAAAAGCAAAAATCATCTCTCTTAGGTGTAATTTGCTTTGAAAGTGTTTTTACAGTTCAGTTTTAGTGATCTTCAGATTGACAATTGCGTTCCCTTTGTAGTGCACTTTGAAAACATTTGTCATTCTGAATACAGCCAGCGCTCATAACAAAAGCTGTGGCTGACCGATTATTTAAAAGCGAAATTTATGGAAGGTCTCTAAAATTTGTGGAAAAAAAAACAAAACAAAAAAAACATAGCATACGTTAATTCATTCATTCATTTTCTTTTTGGCTTAGTACCTTTATTAATCTGGGATCGCCACAGCGGTATGAACTGCCAACTTATCCAACATATGTTTATTGCAGCGGATGCCCGTTCAGCCGCAACCAGTTACTGGGAAACATCCACACGCACTCATACCAGGGGCGCCTCCAAGGGGTGGCCAGGGGTGGCGGTAAACTCTGGCCACCCCTGTGGCCACCCCAATATAATTTTGCGGTTGACATTATTGATTTAAATGAACTTATAAATTCCCAATATTTAGATAAATAAATAAATAAAATGCAGTCACTAAATTATTGTTGGTGTTACTGACGTAGCTCTCCCCCTCTGGTTCAATGCTGGTGAAAGCAAACTGACGCATGCGCGCGGAAAACCATTCCCGCGCGCCTCACGCACTCCTGTGTGAATCCCGGTTGGTTGTTTGCATGCACGCCGACATAATAGGCACCGCTCATGCGCCGTGAAATAGGAGTAACAGCCTTTTGTGCAGAAGTGTCGGCACACAGCGAGTTTTGAAAGTCGTTTAAAGTTTATATAATATGATGATGATGATGATGATGTTACTTTCACTAAGCATGCCTTTAAAGCAGAAAGGAGGGATAATGAGTCAGGGAGGTAAGACTTCATAACATGATTTCTCAGCCATGATCTGGTCTAAGACCACAGATAATTCTATAATACATTTTTTGTATTCTTTAGAATTGTCATAATTAATTTTCATGCAAAAGGTTTCTTAAGTGATGTTGGCATATCACTCCAGTTGTTGTTTTCCAGTAATGTTTAGGACTGATTTCTGTTATTTATTTAGAATAATAATTGTATATTAATATTAATAGTATTTATTTAGAATAAATATAAATAAATTGTTATATTTATTGAATAACAAATCTAACAATTCAAGAGAGGTGGGGTGTACAGGGTGGTGCGCCCAGGGTGTCATTTAAACTAGAACCACCACTACCCGCCCCGATCGTCCTTGACAGCACACACACACCTTCAATAGACAGCAATGGCTATTTAATATTTACCTTAAGCTACAGTATATCAATAGAAGAAGCTGCATTAATAAAATGGTTCAAAATGTAATATGGATAAATGATATTATTAGGTATAGTGAGTGTGTATATAGTAATGCCTTTTGTTCAGTTTGTTCATTTGTTTGGGTAATTAATAAACTCATTATTCTTTCATTCATTTTCTTTTCGGCTTAGTCCCTTTATTAATCCAGGGTCACCACAGCAGAATGAACCGCCAACTTATCTAGCACATTTTTACACAGCGGATGGCCTTCCAGCTGCAACCCATCACTGGGAATAATAAACTCATTAATCTTCATTAATTTAAGACATGGCATATCTCGTATGATGTACAATAAAGGCACGTAAAAAAAGAAGTCATTTATACAGTATATGAAAAGTGTTTTTAAACTAAACATAGATTTTTATTTGGTTTGCACATGTACTTGCTGAATTATTTCAAAGAATAAATTGCAATATTTCAAGTAGAATTAATTAAATGAATAAAACTACATTATTTAATTTACCAGAAACAAAAATATAACATTACACTGAATTCATTTTTTTTGTGTGTGCCACCCCAAGATTTGGTGCGGCCTCTTCTGGCCACCCCTAAGAAAATTTTCTGGGGGCGCCACTGACTCATACATTACAGACAATTTAGCCTACTCAATTTATCTATAACGCATGTCTTTGGACTTGTGGGGGAACCATAGCACCCAGGGGGAAACCCGCGCGAACATGGGGAGAATAAGCAAACTCCACACAGAAACGCCAACTGACCCAGCCGAGGCTCAAACCAGCGACCTTCTTGCTGTGAGGAGAACCTGCTACCCACTGCGCCACCCATAGCATACATTACTGCTTTTAATTAATATTAGGTTATTTATTAAGTAGTTTGAGTGTGTCAAATTGTAAAAGTAGACTTCGAAAAAAAAAAACAATATCCTTCTTAATAATCTTCATTATTAATATTAGTAAAGTAGGATTTGCTTCGATTTCCTAATAAATAATAAATAGAATTTTTAACAAATCGCCTCATTATTTATTGATATGATTAATACATGAGATTAGAATATGTCAGCTTTTGAAAGTGATTTTATGTTTTAGAATATAATATGGAATATTCTCAATAATATTTGTAAAGAAAGAATAGGCTCTATATTGTCATTTACATATATTTCAGTTCATATAGAAAACCAGTGTATGTTTTTACCAAACACTGGTAAAATAAAGACATGTTTTTATTGGATTTTTTTTTTAACGTGTGTGTAAAACAATATAATTTGCACAAATACATTATGGGGTTCTTCTCTAAAGTTGTTACTCCACCCCGTTTAGAGCCTCATTATGGGCGTTTTATGTTATAACTTACGTGGTTCAAATGATGGATCTGCGACAGAAACCAGTTTTGGTAAACACTCGTCACTACATCGTTCTTTTCCCAAACGATGCATCGTATTACAATAGTTACATCAGTGTTCGGTAAACGGACTGCAGTTTAATTGTACAAGGACATTATGCTTTTTATCTTGAATCTGTGAGGCATTTTTGCCAAAAGCTATATTGATTTATAAAACCCATCCGTGTTCTAACTAATGCTCGTGTGTAGATAAAACCCAAAAATCACTGATTATATTTTCACACACCAAAACAGAAATCTCACAAGTCATTCTTTATATGTAAAAAGGAAACCCCACCCTTTACAAAACCAAACGATTCCCATGATCACATACATGTTCATTCACTCCAACAAAATGTTGTAAACATAGTGAGAGAAAATATTACAATTTCAGACGTTAAGGCCGTTTCCTCTCACTCAACATATTGTACACTGTATACATTTACTTCGACATGCTACAGTAAAATGAGGTTGAATATAACCATTTTCATGTCTTTTTTTGTTTTGCTTCAGGGAAAAACACACACACACACACACACGCACGCGCACACACACGCATCGACAAACGTTCAGAGAACATGGTCTACGATGTTATGAGTGGCTTTACAGAAAGTGTCTCTATTGAACTCCTGATACAGGACCAAAACATACAACTGATAGTACAGTTCAACTTAAATTCACAGTATTATCTTGACTAAAATCAAAAGAGATTCAAGAAAACTGAACGATGACAATTAAAAACAAAAGAGATGCAATGAAGTTGCATTCTAGACAGGTTTGATTGAGGAATATCCGAAAGTAATACAGTGAAGATGCTAAAAAAAGAGAGAGGAAGAGGTACAAGAGACAGCGAAGCAAACGTCTTGTGTCCTCAAGTGTGTCCAGGTTAACTGTGATGTAAGTGCACATGTAGCATTAGCAATGGCTGCTCCTTCGAGTCAGTTCTCTCAAGCGATATGTGAAAATGGTGACATCGTAACTTGAAGCCAAGAGACAAGCAGTCTTTCTCCGCCGATGCAGCATATAAAATGTTCTTGTCATCCCAAGTGTGTATCCTTAAAGGGAGCGCTCGTCTCATCTTCACAAGTGAGAAAATCCTGAGTCTGTATGTCTGAGCAGCAATTCAGATGTTAAGCTCCAGGCTTTTGTTTTAATCGCATATATTAACTTTATATAGAACTTTTGTTTTTTCCATGATCAAAGTTCACTTATGTACAGTGTTCTAAAAAATCCTTAAAAGTAAAAGAAAAACAAAAAAAACAAAACAAAAAAATAATGAAACTTTAAAATTCATCTTGTGGTAAAAATACAGTATATTCTAAATGTTAAGCACCATGTTGGGAACTGTAGCTGTAGATCTTCTCTTTCACATGCTTGCACGGGTGGTTTTCAGAGTCTTTAAAGAAACAAGATCATTTTCATACAAATCTTTAAACAACAAATAATATTAATCAAAAAGACTTTTTTCATACCTTAGGTGTGTTAAAGAAAGCACTTTCCCTTTTAGTGAGGATGTGTGACTTCCTGTGAAAACCAGAGAGGAGTCAGAGTAGTGCTAAATACAGTAAATAGATTGTTTGTAAATATACAAATATAGAGCTTCTTCATATTTAATACTTCAGTATTTCTGACAATATTTACTTAAATGGATAGTTCACCCAAAAGTGAAAAATCACATTTTACTTGTTCGAAACCGGTTTGATTTTCTTCTGTTTAACTGAAAAGATATTTTGTAGAAAGCTTGTATCCAGCAATCATTGACTACTATAGCATTTGTTTGTCCTACTATGGAATTCAATGGTTCCATGTTTCTAGTGATGTGACTGTGTGCACTGAGGCTTCGAAGCATGCCTCAAAAAAAATGATACACATGGGACGATATTTTTGAGAGGTCAGTGTCGGCATCAGTTACGCCGAGGGGTATGCGATCATGTGAAGGCTGTGCCAGACTATACGCTGTGCTTCACGCAGAAGTGTAAACAGAGCGGGGTCACGTGACTCCACACACAGTAAGCAAACTAAATTAAAAAATTGACCTGGAAAAATCAGGTCATTATAGGCTGTGAATGTCGATTTCAATTACTTTTCGATTTAATCGGCCAGCCCTAGTATAGCAAGAGATTAGGCATCTATTACATACATTTCTATGGTTTCAATGCACCACACCAGTAATAAAACTAAAACACCATAGTAATTTACAGTAAAAAGTTTTTGAACCATATTAAAGTGCATTAGTGTATTATTGACTATTTTTTTAAAGAAGGCTATTGCATATTGTAGAATAGCATATAGCGGAGGCCAGTTGACGAGTGCGGTGCAAAAAGCCTCACTCCAATAGCCTCCTCCTTTGATTTAATGGTTGGAATACAGTAATTGTAGATACTTTTGAATACCTTGGATTTTACTACAGTCATCTGTGGAGTGATGTAACATGTAACATACAAGGCCCACACAAAATCTGCACAGATTTTCAGCCGATCAAGTCTATTTATTTTGTTGTAACAGTGTAAATTTATATTTATTCGGTTTTTAAATTAATTTTAGTGTTATTGCTGACTAATATAAAATGTTCATAAAATTTACTTGCATTACAGTTTGTAAAGTAATATTTTCTGTATATGGTATTGATATATGGTAGACACATTATATGAGAAACTTGCTTTGTTTACCAAATAAACTGATCTAATACAAATAGCATTGTAAACATTAAAGTTAAAAAATTATTATTTTTATTTAACATTAAGTTTTAAGTTCGAGCTCTCTGGTTCAGAAAGCTTTATTTCACCATTACTACATGTTTCTAACATTTTTCTTGTCAGAAAAATGTTTCTTCTAATGCAGGGGTGGCAAACTGAGTTCCTGGAGAGTCGCAGCTCTACACAGTTTAGTTGCAACCTTGCTCCAACAAAGTTTTCAAACAAGCCTAATTGGTTTGATCAGGTGTGTTTGATTAGGGTTATGCAGAGCTGCAACCCTCCAGGAACTGATGCTGCGTCCTAATTCGCATACGATCCGTTCTAAATAGTATTTGTAAAAAGAATTAGTATGTCCCAAATCGTAGTATGTTGAAAAGAGTATGCCAACAGTTTCCAGATGGTTTACAATTTACTGTAAAAATTTGAAGTGTAGAAGCGTCCATACTCTAATCTCTGATAACCTCTAACCTCCCAGAGTACATTGCGCATTGGACATGAATTCGATTAGAACTACAAATGCAGGTGAAAAGTGTAAATAAACTACAAACATGGCGGATGTGCAAGACCAACCATCAAGTAGAGGGGCTTAGGTAAAGATGTTTGTATGTCCGTTAATTAATATCTAGCCACCTGGAAAATATTTACAATCACATGTTCTGGGTTATAATTCATCTGCAACAGCAATACTGAACTTAAGTAAAAGGTGTGTTTAGACATTAACGTCTGAACTGACCTGAGGAGATTTCTCTGCATGAAAGAATGGGAGATTAACCTGCTGCTGCCACTACAATGAGGTACGTAATTAAATATGACAGAAATGTGGATGATGTGTGGATGATTGACGGGGCTCATACCGAAGCAACACAATGATCTGTTAATAAGGAAGTAGTACTTCCCAAAGCTTGTATACTCTTATGTTACACACTCAAAAGTATATATTTTTCCGCCACAAAAAAGGCACATATTTTTAGGGTGTACTTAAAGTATGCAAACTGAGACGCAGCATGAGTTTGACATCTGTGTTCTAATATGAACCAACTAAAACCAGTTGAAGGGGATTAAAAAGTCAGTCAATTTTCATTTTTGGGTGAACTATCCTTTACTAAAAAGTGAACTGAACTTTACTACTTTAAAGAGACAGATCGCTCAAAAAATGTTAAGTATTCACCTCTTAATTTCAGCTACTTACATTCTTCTGCTGAACACCAAAGAATATATTTTGAAGAATGTTCTATTTATAATGTTTTTACAACTAGGGAAAATCTAGGGCTAGTTTCCAACATTTTTAAAAATTTCTTCTGTTGTGTTCAATAGAAAAAGAAGAACAACTCAAAATAATCTGGAACAAGCAGGGTGAATAATCAGCAAGGGAATACACTTCTGGTCGAGCTATCCCTTTAAAATACACTGATTATCTGAGAACACTATTTTAGTTGTACTCACTCCACTGTCTGAAAGGGTCCTGTGACAGGCACCATCTACGTCTCCATTTCCATTTGAGAGTGTCTTTGTGTTGTTGACAGTGGTAACGTGATCAATATCTTTGCATTTCACATCTTTCTCCATCCGTGTGTGACAGAGATCACGTTCACTTCCACTGTAACAGCTCAGTCCATTCGCTGAGAAAAAGACAAACATCACACATATTCATTTTTATCTCAAATGACATTTAGGTGCGATGTCAAGATCGCATGTGTGAATGTGGGTGTTTGAGCCTGTGAAGGATTCACAGTAAAATCCATTAGGCTTGGTCACCGGCAAACAAATCAGTATGAGCATGAGTCAGCTATCAGTAAGACACTAAAGAACCTTTGACTCATGTCATGTGAAATAAATAAATAAATAAATAAATAAATAAATAAATAAATAAATAAATAAATAATCTAAATAACTAGTGAAATTACCAATGGAATAATGACTTCATGATGGAAACACAATTGCAAACATTAGGTCTTACTGCGTTAAACGTTTCAATTCATTTCATATGTCAGCTTATAGACAGATCAGGATTAGCAGGAAACAGAAATTTCAGTACAAAAGTCGACACTTTTACCAACCCTACTCTAAAATGCTATGAATCTGACAGTGTGAATATGAAGTACATTTTGGGCTTTAACGGACTGATCAAATATACTGTAAAAAGTTAGGTCAAAAGTCAAAATCAGCCTTGTAAGCCAGTAAGAATGACGCACCTTTGTGACCATTGAACTGTCGCTGGTCCTCCATGTGGTCTCGGTGGACTCCGTGAAGAGCCTCAGAGCTGTGGTGCTGACTGTTACTAGCTCTACAATCACGCTCTTCCCACCTCAAAGCGTCATCTCTCCCAGTGTGAGCCCTCTCCTCATCCTCCCTCCTCTTCTTTTTCTTTTTCTTCTTCTTCTTATGCCTCTTGGAGCTGCTGTCCTCATTACCCTCTGATAGTTCCCTGTCTGAGTGCCTATGAGTGGAAAGGCACAATAATCAAACTGTTTTTTAATGGTTTAAAGACCTGAAATGAAAGACGCATGAAAGACCTGAGGAAAGCCCTGACTAGAGCACTCATGGTAAGTTTGGGTCAGTAAACTGGGATAACTTTTTTTTTTTAACAATTTTGATTAACAACTTGTGAATATTATGCAAGTACAGAATAACCTGTGTACAATATCTCTCAACACTGGGATCTCCATTAAAATGCAGCACAAACTGATTATATTTCCAGCCGTTCTAAGCTACAAATATTTGGATCACATATCCAGGGCTTCTGCAGTAAAATTTAAGAAAGTCTTAAGAATGAAATTTCAGGCTTATATAGGGCTAAATGCTAAGGATTTTTAATTGCCCATGCAGCAGAAAAAAAGGATATAATATGTCAAAACAAGCAGACCTAAAAACTAAAAAATAAAAAAAATAAAATAAAAAAAATAAAATGTATGCACAACAGACTGTTATAATATCAGTTATTAATATAGAAAGGTTTTACTGAAGCCATGTATAGATGTATAGAAAGTTTTATTGAGATTGTGTTGGTGATTGGATAGGTGTTGGATCGATTGAGTAGCTATACATAAAGAATATTAAGACCAGTTTAAAATGTTTAAAAAGACCTACAAGACAATATTTCACTGAATTTAAGACTTTAAGACCCGGCAAATACCCTTTCCCTGATATCAACAGAACAAAATAGATGTGATCATAAATAGATGTTTTAGTCATTTGCGATCCCTATTCTGCACCCGCAGCCATTTTTTAGTCATTTAAAACTATCCTATCAACCCCTATCAGAGCTCAAATTCAGCAATGTTTACAGCTATCTTTTAGATATTCCTCAGCCATTTAGTGATTGGTGATGGTGTTATAGCATTAAAGTGTATGCTTTTATATTTGCTGTAAGGGGAAATCTATTTGTTCACTTGTGCTATTTATACGTTGACTTGCATTACAATTTATATTTTAATTGCCTTTAACCTGCAAATTAAGAATAGAAGCCGTATAAAAAGCATGCAAACGTACTGACTGTTATATAGGTACCATAGATTGCTATGGGTCAATGATGCTTCCATTAGGCACAAATCTATAAATCTTTCTTTTCTGGCTGTTTTTTCTATGCCAACTAACAGCCTGCTCATGTCCTAATGTCTGATCGTTAACATGACTGATTCTTATTATACCAGGAAAATGACCGTAATACACACAAATAACATGAACTTAAGTCATAAAATGCTTAGTCTTATTTGATATATTGGTCAGAGTAAGTGGAAAAAAAGATTTACTTATTGACCCTGATAATCATATGGAACTTAATTCAGTAAATACTTTAATAATCCCTTTTCTTTACAATATTTCCCCAAGCAGCCTCCTGTTTTTCACCATGAGAAATTCATTCAGGGGCCAGGGCTGCTGTGTTACACGAATAAATTTATGTAAATTCTATCTTGGAACAAAGCATTTATGAGGTATATGCAAAACTGTCGGTCTTTCCATTACAAAATGGCTACAGTTAAGAGCTGTTTTCTTCAAAAATAAGAGATCTTCACTGCCTGATAGATGTGCGATATAAAGTGAATCGCAGACCGGACAAGAAGCACTGCATTAAATTTTATTTTCCCTGCCATCTCTTTAAAATAGGAAATTTTTTTTTACTATTTTGAATGTTTTTTCTGCGCTAACCTGCTGCTACTTATGGCGCAAGTTTACACGGTTTATCATCTCATTTTATGCTTGAACAACTAAAAGAATGCTTAAGTTTATCTAATTGATTTTATTTTAATTACATAATGATGTCGATGCTGTAAAAGCAACCTTAAAATTTTTTAAAATAGCTTTTAAAAATAGTTTATCGTTAACTGAAAAACACTAGCTGTGCATAAAGCCCATTGAGGTCATGAAAACCACAAATCTAATTTTTATTTAATCGAGAGAAGCTTACATTTATGGGGAAAAAAAATCTCAAACCTGAGATTATTTCTTAAAAACAAGCAAACCGAAAAGATTTCAGCATCACCTTGGCCAAAAAGAGTTTGAAAATATCAGCAAATATCCAAGACTGTTCATATTTAAAAAGGTACAAATACAAAATCCTTTTCAATTCTGAAATATTTAAGTTTATTTATTATCTTTTTTGCAGATTTTCTAAAGAAAAAATTATCCATCCATCTATCTATCTATTTGCTCAATTATGAGAAAAATCATATTCACAATTATTTTGGTCATAATTGTAAAGATTATTCAAAACAATATAAAGTTTAAGTCCAAATTATTCATCCTCCTGTGAATTATATATATATATATATATATATATATATATATATATATATATATATATATATATATATATATATATATATATAAAAACATAAAAAAATAAATATATAAAAAATATATTTCCTATAATACTTTCTTCTGGAGAAAGTCTTATTGGTTTTATTTCGGCTAGAATAAAATATAAAAATATTTTTAAATCTATTTTAAGAAGAACATTATTAGCCGCCTTAAGCAATATATTTTTTTGGATTGTCTGCAGAAGAAACTACTGTTATACGATGACTTGCCTAATTAAGCCTTTAAATTGCACTTTAAGCTGAATGCTTGTATCTTGACAAATATGTGATAAAATATTATATACAGTCATTATAGCAAAGATAAAAGAAATCAGTCATTTAAAATGTCTTATTAAATATATTAGAAATATATTTGTCTACCAATAAAAATTGGTAGAAAAAAAATAATATTTCCGTTAAACAGATATTGGGGGATAAAATATAAAAGGCCACTAATAATTCTGACTTGAACAGTACATAAACACAGTTATTTTCCTCCTTGTAACGGAAAGGGAAACAAATACAATAGAATAAAAATATGAAAAACATTTTGTGCTTTAAGCATCTTCGCGGTAAGAAAAAAAAAAACTTTAATTTTAGCTACAAAATTCCTCCTGTCAAGAGCAGTGAGTGATTGTCCTTTTGTTGTTTAATTTAAAATGATAAAACAATCGGTAGCAGGAATATTGAGCGCTGTCACTTTAAGAGAAGTGCAGTTCTGATTTATGGCTTCACTTTCACATGCCTTTTGATTCTCTACTCATTTGTTTATTACATAATTAATATGAATGATTGAATCATTGCTTCCGCTACATTCATGCTTCCATGGGAGGTTGGATGCACACCAAAGTGCATCCCACGGCTACATTACAGCTTCTCATTCAAAACATTCAGTCATTGTTGTTGTTGTTGTTGTTTTTAATAGCGGGTTAGGTATTTGGTAGATTTGTGTAAAAGGCCTGCCGCCACAGCTGGAAAAAATCCTAGAGGAAACACTGGGAATAATCACTAAAAACCTAAATTGTATTTGACCATTAAAGCGCTGACTTTAGATGTGTGTGCTCTGCTCGTCTCTGAGTCGGAGCACATACACACAACTACACGCGATCTCTTTTGCGCTTTTAAAAACACAAATGATTCGAATTTATACCAATGAATGGTGCGCATTCCGTGCTGCAAGTTTCATTAGAGTACATGCTTTTAGTAATTTTCACGTGAAACTGAACTTAGCAGAACAACAAATGTGTACAACTGGAAAGGGGACAGTATATGATGCAATAATCGTTTCATCCCAATTAATGTTTTTTTCATAATCGTTAGAAGCCAAAATCGAAACTGAATTTCTCTAAATTGCAAAGACCTACTATCTATCTGTCTATATTGTCAATTATATAGTTAAATGTGAAGTAAAATTACTCACACCATGAAATAGAATTTTGGTCCATCCACCACTAGGACATGCTATTAATACATTTGCGTGAAATGTGCATTTTCCTACATTTGGTACCTGAATACAATGTTAGACAGAAAAGCAGCAAACAGGGTCTCTGCAGATAACATGATGTCAAATTTAAGACTTTTTAAGACCATTAAGCATTAAATTTAAGACCTATATTGCAATATCAAAAACACGCAAGAGAAAAAGTAAAAGCACAAAATTAGGGGTAAAATAAATGTATTTAAATTGAACAGTACTAAAGACAGGTTAAATGCATCATTGAACTACAGAAAAACACAAACATCTTAACGCTGACTTATACTTTCGCCTGGCGCCGCATCACACACCTCACAAAACGGATGAGGCTTTTATACTTGACGCATTCGCCATTGAGATATTTTTTTAAATGACAGGGAGTGGTCAAAAAAAAACAAAGTAAAATCAGACGAATAAAAAGAAAATCATTATTATTAAAGATGTTTTTGGGGGCCTCTTTTTTTGTTACAACAAACGTATCCCTCAGGTTTTTCCAAAGTTTTACAAACACTTTCTTCCTTTCCCATGGCTGTTGCAATTTCTAGCCAAGAATTATTGGTCATCTGGTTCTCCCAATGATATCACAATGACGGATCATAAAGATGTCAGTACAGACAGACGTACCTGTTTCAGACAAAATATCTTCAAAGTGTTTCATATTCAATTCAAATCAAATGCGGCGCCGCGCAAACTGTTCGCCTGAGTCTCAAAAAATTTATATAGCTCTGCTATGGCGTTATTTCACATACAAATGTCGTGAGCGCAGTATTACAAGTCAAAACTGCATTCATGTAATACGAGCGAGCAAATCTCTTTTCTCATGCACTGATTTCCTTTGTTTGTGGACAAAACTGCGTGCGAGCTCTCAAATATATTACGCTGCTCACATGCAAATTTTCTCACTCTCAAATACACACTGCTCACGCACACATTTCCTTGCGCGCTCTCAGTACACTGTTCCCTCTTCCTTTCGTGCTTTTTTGATGATTTATATCAGTACACTATTTCTTACCAATAACCAAAATACTAAAATAGATTTGCATATTACACATGTATGTTATATGATGAGATATTTACAGTTTCAAACACTTAAAGACACAGATACTAGTTTTATTTTAAAAACATTTATTATATTGTGCTGCGTCCGACAGATTGCACTATTGTGTTTTTCTCTACTTTTTCATTCTTTTATATCACATTTTACATGTTTTTGTTTTTTTATCATTTTTATTATTTGTTTTTATTTTTATTTTACTTGTTTCTTTTATTCTTGTTTATGTAAAGCACTTTGAATTGCCACTGTGTACGAAATGTGCTATATAAATAAACTTGCCTTGCTTTGCCCAATCATACATAAGGTGCACCATACTAATAAAAACAACAACATTTAAATACACCTAACACAAGCAGAAATGTAACAGTGATAGAAAATAGGGAAACACTTGATAAGGTATTATAGCCTACTATAATATTAACTCTTCAAATAAATGTCACTATCAATCCCATTTTATCACTAAAATAAAGTTAACTAGTGTCTGCTGTACAGTGTTTTGTAAAGTACAGTAAAGTGCTTCAATTACTCTGTTGTGGTAATACTATAGTTGCTATGGTAACACAACAAGTGTATTATAAACAAACTACCCAGTGCTTTAGTATTTTTTTTCAATATAGTGTATATTATTCTACAATTCACCACACTCTACCGTAGTAAAACTACACTGTATTTCATTTAATCAGTTCACTATTCTTAATACTACAGTATGCTAAAGCACCTTTGGAGAGCAAAAGCACCAACAGAAGTCCAACAGAGCGAGAGCAGATGATTCGCACGTGAGCAGCCAGTGTTTTGAGAGCTCGCGAGCAGTTTTGTCCACGAACAGAGGAAACCGGCGCGTGAGCAGAGATTTGCTTTCTCGTATTACAGCGCTCCCGACTTATAAAACTGCGCTTACGACATTTGTCAGTGAAATAACGGCATACTCTGCCAGCCGAAATCATGTCACGCGCACTTAAAGCGAACGTCCTCAAACACAGCGATGATGTCACATTCGCCACGCGCACAGAATTTAATAACAGAAAGCTGATTGGCTATTGCAAGCTGACCTTTTTGTAGTTGTAATACCGCAAATTACAACTGGTAACAATAAAGAACTACAACACCCCAAAAACCAAGCAACAACAACAAAAAGAATTTAAATGAGTATTAGATGTAGCGTTACATAGACATCGCAAAAATAATACCTGTGCAAAAATATTTAAGACCTAGAACAGCGAATTTAAGACTTTTTAAAGCCTTAAATTTCGATTTTTAAATTTTAGAGTTTTTAAGACTTTAAGACCCCGCAGGGATCCTGAGCAAAGTATGCAAGTAAAACACAACTTACCTGTGTTTATCTTTGTTTCTCTTTTTCTTTTTGGATTTCTTTGCTTTGCACTCATCAGAACTTTCCCTTGCATCAACCGATGGACTGCGTTTCCGCTTGTGATGTCTAGGAAGTGGACTAACGGAATGAGGTGACGAGGGCCTGCCTTTTGAACCGTTCACTGTATGAGTCGCTCTTCCATGGGCCTCTTCCATCCCACGATGACTGTGATTGGAATATCCATTCCTGTTATGGTATCCAGAAGGGCGATAAGAGTCACTCCCAAACCTACGATCTCTATTCCAGTCGCGTTCATCTCGGTGTCTTCTCTGGAAATAATGGTGCTCTCGACGGTGGTGTGAGAATCTGTCCCAGTGTCTCTCCAAATCTCGATCTCTATAATAGCGCTCTCTACTGGTGGAGCGACGACTATCTTGATAGCTGTGCCCATAGCGACTCCGGCTTCTATCACTATGATCCCTATAGTGCCTGTATCGTTCCCTGTCCTTCGGGGTTGAAGAAAAATGTGGTCGATCTGACCCTCTGTTCCGGTCCTCACCTGACCTCCATCCATCTCCAGAGCCAAATTTGTCTGAGTGTGATGGTTTTGCCTCTTTGCTCTCTCCTTCACTGCACCTGTACACCTCCTTTAACTTGTGTGGACTCGTGTGACCATGACTAACATGAAGGCTAACATTGTTGTTGACCTGAAGGTCTGACGTGCCAGTTGCTGTATGCGTAGCATGCCTCTGAGTCAACTCAACTTTAGAAGCGGTCTCGGTATGAAGGTCAGTATCTGTAGTCTTTAAGACTAGTGATTCTTTAGGTGAAGATTGTATCTGTGCCACAGACTGAGATGAAGACTCAGAAGGAAGGTTCAACCTTTTGTTTGAAGGTGAGGAACAAGGATGGTCATCAGAACTTGCTGGATTGGAGCTTCTGAATGAATGAAGAAAACCCAAAAGAAGTTTATTACATGAGAAATGGCCTCGGATTGAGGACACAAAAAATTAAGATGAATTTCAATTATTTAAAAAGAATTATTACAATTACTTTTCTTTATTTGTACATCCCTAAAGAACATTGTTAAAAAGCTATCATAAATATACATACTAAATATCGTATACAGACCCTGAGCATGTACAGTGCTCCCAGGGCAAATGTCATTCAACACTAGTCAAGACTAAATACTAGTCAAGAGGTAAGATTGAGTTTTTTACGATATTGTATGTTACAAACTTTTGTGCTAAACAAGTAATAAGTATAATACAGTCTCTTACTGCCTTGGCCATAAGACAACTTGCATTCATTACTAGGCATATGCTAGTTTTTTTGTATAAAATAAGCAAACAATGTAAATGAAATATGACAACAAGATGCTGCTGCTCTAGAAAACTGTATTATTGTTGGCTAAGTAAACGAGTCGTTCATAACGGGGATTTATTCCCAAATGAATCGCTCCATCTGTTAGAATAAGATGTGAAAGCAGAGAGGTGTGCGCTTCAGCACATGGATTATATCAAATTTAACAGGATGGGAGGACAATACATTTCCATGCACACATACACACGCTCTTTGTCAGCAATGTCCATGTGGTCCCTTAACCATCAACCTTAATTTAATTTGCATACTGAACAATGGGAAAACTCCTGATCATGGATACATGTATATATATGTGTATATATCTCTGGCTCTAGATGGTCCTAAACTGCACCTTGGTCTCACATTCATTTCAAAGGAGTGCTACCCTGTACTAAAATGGCGTCTCTATTGACCTTTTCTATTGTACTTCCAAGACAACAATAGTGTAGACAAAATGTGGGCTAATGTAAATGTCTATAAACATCTACAACTAACAAATTAAATGTTATTTTCACCTAAATTAAAACCTAGCTTAATTATCTAGAAATTAGTTTTTTTTTTTGCAGAAAATTATTAAACCTAGAAAAAAGTGAAAATTTAAAAAAATAAAAAAATAAAGTACACAATTGTTAAAAAAAATACCTAGAAAATAATATGAAATCTAGTTTAAAATATTAATACTGTGACTATTGTAAATTTGAATGTTATTAGAACAACAGACTTTAGAAAACATAGAAGTAAACAATATAAAAAGTGGATATACATTTTAATATTAACTAATGAATGGTAACCACAAATTATTAATGTTCTATATATAAGAACTGAAGTCATGTATAGAAGCAAAAATAAGTTAAGAAATGATCATCATCCGACACTGTTAAAAAATACTGTGCATTTATAATTAACAACAAAAGACAATGTGGTGTTCGGGCATCTCACCTCGACTCATTGTGTGCAGGCTTTAAGTTCAACTCCATCTCTGAACAACAAGACAAATCAGAAATTTGCGATGAAGTATGTGGATCAATCATAACCTGAAAAACAGAAGAATAAATAAGAAATGTGAAAACTGTTCAGTTAATAATTCATACACAAAACTAACTAAAAGCTGAAATTTAGTACCTTATCATTGTGATTAAATCCATTGGCTTTGGAAAGGCCGTTCTGGGAAGTGTGGTCAGGTCCTGATCCATTTTCACATACATGCGAGTCCGATCCATTTTCACACACATGAAAGCCATTAGACCCATTTGTCTTTGAGGTATGATGAGGCAGTGAGCTGGAATCGTGGGACTGGGCATCATCCTTTACCCCATTGCCATTGGTTATCTTGGGAGCAAGATAAGTCTTTGTCGATCCATTCTCCAGAACTCCAGCCTCTTGGTCAGATTCCTCAGAAGATTCCTGACCATAAGGAACCAAGAAAGAAGCGCCAGTGTGAGTTCCATTGACCTGCTTAACCTGTGGGAAGCCTGAGGTAGACGTTGAAGTGCTGGAGGATGTGGACTGAGAATGAGAGGCTGAAGATAAAGAGCAATTAGGGCTTGACTGGGTCTGGGCAGGTCTCACAGGTTTGCCTTGACCAATGAGAAACGTCAGCTTCGGCCTTTTGGATGAATCTGGAATGCCCATGGACCGAACAGGCAAAGAAGAAGAGGACGCAGATGCAGAGGAAGATGTATGAGATGGGCCTATTTTGGTCACACCACCAAAATTTCTGTTGGGTTTAGAGCCACCATGGTATTCCTTTGAAGAACCATTTCCATTAACATATGACGAGTTCTGCAAAAACAATGACCAGTTTAACAGAAGAAATTGAAAAAACAAAAGCTTATCAAGGCTGAACTTATTCTTATGAACGTTCCTTCTTATGAACTTATGGCAAGATTAATATAGATAAAAACATATTACATAGTAATTACAACTTCATAATTCAGTAACACAAAAAAAATTACATTTATGATTTTTCAGTCCGATATATAATAAATAACTTAAAGTTCTTCCTGTAGCTACATTTTTCAAAACATCCATCACAGTGCTGATTTTGCTAGGATGTTTCATTGTCTTGCAGTACCTTCAGCATATGAGGTGGCAGTTGAGGGCCAATGAAGGACGTGGTGGTATACTGAGGCCCATTCATCTTGAGTGGAATGGATGGTCTTGGAGAAGACTGACCTGGAGTATGGTTCATCTGGCTAAAGTCGCCTCCATTTTTTACATCAGGTGACCTGAATTAACACGGAGATTTTTTTGATGAATTGTCAGAATCTTTTTTAGTTCCATTCATACAACTAACTACCCATTTAAGAGACAAATGAATTTTGAATATTACCTGATGTAGAAGAGCAAGTATGCTTGTTGGTTAAGAACTGTTCTTATATCGCTGAGAGATACCGACGAGTCATTCATCTGATACCACTGCCCATTGCTAGCCTAAAATAAAAGGGTCAATTAAATAAATATGTTAATTTATAAATTCTATTAAAGTAAAGAAGAATACAGTTCTGCTCTTGACAACATACCTTAATGTAGCAGTAGTAATGTCCAGCGTGGCAACTGAACCCAGAATGAACCAACACAGCATACAGAGCATAGATTTGTGGCTCCCCATGAGACTGAGACATGAATGGACGCAGATCTAGATGCTCTGCGTACCTCACATCCTGTGAAGTGATAATGGAATAACAAATGTATTTACTGATAAGATTTTAATGTTTCTAAAAGACAATAAATCCATTTAAAACTATATGTAAAAGGTCATGTATAAAGGAGACAATAATACAGGTGATGGGTCTGGTCACAACAGGAACTTAGCAAGCAGTAACACAATTATCTGCTTCACCTTTGTTATTTTTCCTCCATTAAAGTTGGTAAACCGCTTTAGTGAGATTGTGAGAACATTAGAACTGCGATGAACGGTGAATCTCTTTGAGGCAGTAACCATTTTCTTACATCTGACAAGACAAAAAAAAGATTACTGTCAGCTTGAATGAAAGTGAAAGTATAAATGCAATACCATTGCACAAATTAAATTCTTGAATAATACAATGATGTGGTATTCATATGAACAGAAGACTTACTTGGAGCATTTATAGGCATTGTCCCCATCAAGTTGCTCAGGTTTTACAAATTGCTCAAACGCCTTAGAGAGTGTCTGAGCCGTCTGCGAAGAAGCACACAAAGTCACCATTTCAATCTTTAAAACTTGTGCATAAACTGCAAGAATTGATGTTAAGAGAGAAAAAATCTTTCACCTTTATCTCCAATGAAATATCCAAATATGGATCGAAAGTATCAGAGACTGCTTTGCAATTCAGACATTTGACTGTGAAAAAGAAATGTTCATTAACAACTGATGCCAACAAATACAAGAAATCTAGAGCAAACTAATTATTACATTCAAATACAAATACATTAAATCCGAGTCAAACGAAATGAGTGACCTACCTCTGGATCTCAGATATCCTCCAAAAATCTGATGTACAAAAGTGGTTGCCTGAGTTTGCCTGTCCAGTCTGACAAGATAAAAGTAGTGTTAAAATGGAGGTAATAACGAAGTCATTGCATCGACAAATGTGGAAATGTTAAGTTTCATGCCTTACACTGCTTGTAAACTGGCAAACAAAACAGCATTATGTGAACTCACTTGTTTCCAGGAAGGCAGGACTTTTGCATAGCATCCACAGTGTACCTCAAGAACTCGTGGGCATCTTCTTGACTTCCAAATCTAAAATGCTTTCCAATCCCTGAGGAGAAGAACAAAATATCAGTGGACCATGTTTTAAAAATAGCTGTCATCCCATGCCATTCCTTATCACTGTTCTTGTTTTTATATTAACATCATGGTTTAACCTCAATATTTATTTGCTTAACTCTCAACCCTTATCTTGGGGCTGTCTCCAAGAGCCATGAAAAAGCCATATTTGGAATTGTACCAGTTTGTGTGTGTGTCACTGGAACATAATATGAATACTTAATAGTATGTCTTATTAAATAAGTTTACTTATAATTATGTCAGCTCATTTTTAAACAATTGCAATATCTTAAAGTACTCACTTTTCAACTCATTAAGCACACTGATGGGCTTAATGACATTTCCAGAGTTGGCAAACACTTGGATGATGTGATTTTGCATGGTACACATCATACAAAACCCGGGTTCATGACCTGCATAAAACGAAGCACCAGATACAATGTTAGAACAAACAAACAGCAAGAATTACATGCAAGCTAGCAAAATCTTGAACACTTACATGTTTTGGAATGCTCTCTGGTCAGCATGTAGTTGGCAAGGGGAGCAGTGTAGGTCAGACACTGCAGGGTAGAGTTCAGGAAACATGTGTTGCCCAGGTTATGGAGACCTGCTCCAATGCGGTGGCCTTGGTTCCACTTCAAGCAGAGCCGCTCTGGGGAAAACAGGACCTTTTGAGGGAGAGCAATGCCATCCCCACTGGTCATCCCCACTGCATGGTATAAAAAAGAAAAACAGGGATATATTACAAATCAGGAACACAACATAACCCATTGTTGTACTGATATTATGGAAGACTATTAATGACAGAAGGCGCTGCATAATACAAGAATAAAATTATAATTGCAATATGATTTTTAAAGGGACAGCACACCAGAAAAACGAGTTTCTTTCTTCTGTTGAACACAAAAGAATACGTTTTGAGGAAAGCTGAAGTAAAGTAGAAGTAAAAACAATTACCATTGAAGTCAATGGTTACTTTTCAGCTTTCTTCAAACTGTATTATTTTGTGTTTAACATTAGAATGAAATTCAAACAGGTTTGTGATAAGTGAGAGTAAATGATTAGTAAACTGATGAGTAAATTTAGATTTTTAGGTGAACTATCCCTTTAACAATTCGTCACCTTAGAATTATAAGGTTCTATCTGACATTTTTGTCAAAATTGAGTTATTGACATATTCTTATTAAATGACAACTTATTCGAATTATGGGATGTTTTTTTTATAAGTTGTTTACATTATAAGACTTTTTATTTAAAAAAAAAAGTTACACACATTGTTTGCTATATATAAACTCCGAAGCTCTTTATCTCAAAATCATTCAAAACCCAGATAGAACCTTAGAATTCCAAGGTGATTAATTTTCAAATCATACGAGGGTAAATTAATTAACTCTCATAATACATTCTCTCATTCACAAGCAAGGGTTTGGAAAATAGCTGTATGTGAATTTTTTTTCGTTTGTTTTAAATAAAACCATGATGTATCTGATTAGCAACTCTGCATTAATGAGCGTAGATATACTTAACATGTTTACAATATTATGAATTATATTTAGCTATCATTAAAGAGTTTTTAATCTTTAAAATGTAAACATCATGTGAAGAAAGGCAATGAAATTATTTAAATACATGCATACATTTAAAATAACATTTTGAAATATGGATTAAGAGGTTAGTTCACACAAAAATGAAAATTAATATATTAAATTACTAACCCTCAGGTCGTTCCCTCCAAAAAAAAAATCATCATTTTTGTTCCAAATATGAACTCTCAGAGGTTTAGAATGACATGAGGGTATTTTTCATTTTGGGTAAACTATCCTTTTAATATGCCATTGCATGAAGATTGAGATTTACAACAATGAACTACACTGGAATGAACAAAATTTTCACTTTCAAGCAGTAATTATTGAACCTGAATATCAATCTCTAACAACACAAGAACAAAACATCATAAATATTAAAAATATATATATTTCACTAACTTTCAGTTTAGAATGAGAAGTGCGATCAGTGTTTCTTGCTGCAATGGTTTGTTAGGGGCGTACACTCATGTTCATCAAAATTCTGTTCCAACAGTGTTTGAGAAAAAGGGTATAATTTTATGAAGGTTTTAAAAATTCATAACAGCAGTGATCATTTTTCATGAGTGTAAACAAACAGTTATTGAAATCTATCCATCGGAGTAGTTCACTGCCAAATAAACATTAAATATTCAAGGTTACAGGTTTTAGATTCTTCAATGTATCTTCTTTTGTGTTCAACAGAACCCCCAAAATACTCAAGCAGGTTTTTAACAAGGTTGAGCAAATGATGGCAGATTTTTTCCTTTCAATCTCTTTAACAAAAATCACCCTCATCATTCAAAATTCAAGTCATTCTGTAAATCTTGATTTTTTTCCAATTTCCCCTCCACCAAAGATCACCCAACACAAAAAAATAAATAAAAAGTACTTGCCTTGCTCTCGTGGCCTTTCGACTTGGAGTGCTGTGTTATTACTACCATTCACAGTCGCTCCAATGGCCGGGGCCATACAGACCGTCTTGGCCCTTGAAAGCTCAGTGGCAGAAGGGCCAACACTCCAGCTCGAACTACTGCTCTCCATGTCTCTGGAGGAGAATGGTGTGATGGAGCTGGAGTGCTTGCACCGCACTGACTCCAGGTCAGGTTTCTCTGGAGGTTTGTCAACTATGGTCATTATTCATTTTCTGTGGAAAAACAAACATGCATGTTACCTCTAACCTCAATCCTTTTTGACAATACAGACAGATTAATTTGTAAAATAGTTTTAAAGGCAGTGATTCAAACACAACTAGTCTTTGTGTCAAATGTGACTAGTACGCAAGAGGAAAGCCAAACTCGTTATTAAATTAAATGAGTTCATATAAATAAAAAATAAATAAAAACTTACTTTGCTCTTCTAAAGTGAGGATGCACAATACCATTTTTTAGAACCGATGCGATCTCGATACCAAAATTCTGAGTTTCGATCGTTACAGATCTGATCCCGATACTGTGCTATTTTTCTTTTTGTATTGTTTTTTCTAAGCACAATAGTTTCTATAGCTCTGGTGCTAAACTCAAATAATATTTCTTCTTTAGTTAAAATAACAGAGCTATAAGAGACGGTACAATCCAACTAAAAACATGATGCTTGCTGTAAACTAGGATACATTATTTGAGCATTCTTTATAACATTAATCTGTTGTGGTCCAGTTCTTTCCTTTTTTAATATTAAGATTTTTCTTTGAAATCTGCAATAGGCTAACACTATTGATCCCAATAGTTGCTAAAATAACGAGACTTTTAGCAAAGCCTGATATTTCCTGCAGGTCTGACGCAGACTAAACCAAACTGTCTGAGGCCAGTTTTACTTAATAATCCCTCGCCAAATCTCGCCATGAGTGAGACAGAGAGAGTTCAAAACAAGGTCTGCGTAAATTCTTCAGTGTCAAAACACAAATTGGTCTTTTAAATAAAATGTTGATATGAATAAAATTACAGTGAAATATTCACAGTAGCCTGTAATAGGCGAAATATTTTTTTCTGTTAACAACAATCCATATTGTGCCCATCGGTTTTACTTTGATTATTTAAAAATCAACTACTTTGACCACAATGAGCCAGCAGTGAAAGTATTCCCTTCAGAAGAATCAAAGACTTGAATTAAACCACTTGAATATTCATCTTTATTTCACATTAAACTGTAGAATGGCTTCAGAACATTTGGGACATAGTAGGCCTACATAACAACTTTCTAATGCCTTATAATAGGCTACCTTTATGGCTTAGTTGGCTTATAAACACAGAATATAGCGCAAGAATGGATTTAGATCGGTACCAGCTGGCCGACATCCGATACAGCAAAAATATGCAGTATCGAACCAATATCCGATCCAAGTATCGGAATCGGTGCATCCCTAGAAGCGACAACCAAGTAATCTTTAAAATCATGTAAACTTTAGTCACTCTTCCTTTGAAAAAAAAAACATTTTTAAAACAAAATGTGTAAACCGAAACTAAACTTTTATTTTAAACAGGTTTTTATGAGTTTTTTAGAATTTGCACATGGGGACTTAATTTCATTGTACAGCTTTCAGATTTAATGACATTATTGAAATAAATTCCTCAAAGCAAAATATTAGCATGCCAGAACAAGAAAAAAAATAAAAAAATAAAAAAATTTGGACACATAAAAACAAATCATTACTAATGTTTCAGAATAGGAACAGATGAAAAATGCAGCTATTTGTGACCCTGGACCACAAAACCAATCATAGGATTTGTCTATCATCTAAAAGAAAAAAAAATACATTTTGCGAAATTCATTTTTAATGTAGTCCAAACTCATTTCCTAGCAATGCATATTATTAAACAAAAATTAAGTTTTCATATAAATGCTTTCGGAAATGTATAAGATGTCTTCATTGAACATAATCTTCTAATTTGTGGCATAAAAGAAAAACTATTAATTTTGACCCAATATATTTTTAAAATACACCTAAGTTACACAACATAAGACTCGTTTTGTAGTTCAGGGACACATTTATATATTATACAACATGAAATTGTGATTTGTAATTATACCTGTATGCTCAGATAAGCTTTTATTTTCATTTTTAAAAACTGCACTTTCAGCAGGACACTGTACTTTCCCCCTAGGAATTCAGGTTCAAAGTCTATATTTCAGCCAACATACAATCTAGTATTTAATAATAAAAATAATAAAACATACTACCTATAACGTAATAAATAAAGGGAAATTACTACTAAAGAGTCAAAGGTGGTAATGTGTTAAATGCCTACGAGACATCGCGCCAAAGTGAAAGTGCAACAAACATGAGTGAACGTGAACTCCAAACACGGTAATGGAGCCTTTTTACGTAAAACAGCATCAAAAGTATTTACATTTTACTTTCTATGTAAACTGCCAAATAGGTTTTGATCAAATAAGCAAAAAATTTGTCGGAGTAGACACCGGTGTTGATCTTTTGAGCTGAACGTCAGCATGGGCCCGTGGCCTTGGCTAATTCATGATAGCTACGGTGTACAGTAAGCTCTCATAATCAACAGATTCCAAGTCAAAACCGCAACAAACAGCGTGTGCCTTAATAAGGTCGTCAGACTCTATGACACTCAAACCACAGTGGCTATTCTGTGTCTGATTTTGTGTAAGGAAATCATCCTGTAGTACACACACTCCCTCCGCACGTCCGCCAATGTTATCTGGCGTGCTCGGGTAAGTGCTTCGTGTGCGAGATAGGCCTCTGCCGCACGTTATTTAAACACAAAATACTTAAAGTAAATATATTCGTGTTATGTAATGTTTCTACAATACTTTACTGTTAAATTTGACTAGTAAGCCGCTCTTTTTGTTGGCGCGACAAGTTCTGAGTGATTTAAAGACCGCTGTGTTGTAGCTACAAACGCCATGGTAACGGCGAACGTAACAATACGGATGAAACGCGGCATGAAGATGGTCACGCACTTCTAGAAGCCCGTTTGTGTATCAAGATGGTGTTGATATACGTGTTGTGTCCCTTTACAGACATACACAGCACGACATTTCATTTGCTAAAATTCGATATTAAGCAAAACCAGGTAGAAAGGAGGGGCGCGTATTTAAAATTCACCGGTGCTGTGGCCGAGAAGGCAATGCCGCCGAAAGACTCGTTGCGAAACCCGGTGTTTTCAATTTCGTGCCACGCAATAAACGCAGCCGCTCAACGCGCGCTCCCGAGAACATCACATGCAGCGTTCACATAGCATATTTACATCAAATAATGCACGTACCTGTTGTTTTATGATTAATTTAAATGAGTTCATCCATTCTAAAATCCAAAGAGCGTCCGGCGGTGAACAATGACGTAGTTTCCCCACGGGTACATCCGGGTACTTTCGTAATGTCAGCCAACCCAGTGCTGTGGATGTGGCCTTAAATGAAGGGCCGCCGTCAAGGCAGTTGAATGTCTTTGTTGTTGTCAACTCGACGAGAGAAAGAAAAAAACTAAAAGCACTTTACAAATGACAAATAAAAGCTTTCTGTGGATAAATTAACAAAGACGAGTTTTTCGTACATATTTGAATTAATGCAGTCAGACGTAGATTTTAATATCTAATGGAGTGGATGTGTTGGTGGATCGTACGGTAGGTTGTGGCAAATTATTATCCACCATCAAATTCTTCGTCAGATAAAGTTTTGTAAATAATAACGTTAGTGTGTTTGTAAATAAAAGTGTAACAATTGTGTGATGTTATTAAAGAATTAAGTACATTTTATAATTCAGTGACCTAATAAACTCATAATGCTTTTGCAGTCTTATTTAGGACACTGAAGTATTATTAATATTCATTATTATAACTAAACCCTGCAGTAAATGTACTAGACATTAATAAAACTACAGTAACTATTTAGTCAACTTTAAAGAGTCAGAGACTAATTCACCATTGTCATGGGATTTTACTTTACAGATCTTTCATTAAATTAAATGTGTCACTCATTTATATACATACAAGCAGAGCTGTGCTCACACATACAGCCATTCCAAACAACAGTTGACAATGTACAAATACTGAGCACTTGTGGCAGTACAAAATAGATTCTATCACTACGTCTTTTCTGGACTGTGTATTGAATTCTGAGAGATCTGTAGCTCACTAATCCGTCTCCTGAGCTGTACAATTTCTTCTTCTTGTTCATCAATCTTGCGCTTTAAACTGTGGATCACCTACAATAAAGCACAATTCAATTTTTAATCCAGGTTACATTCAAATACTATTGATATTATACTTAAATAACTTAGGGATTTTATCTACTTTGTAAAACAAACAAAAAGTACCATGTCATTGGTGCTGAAGAGGTCACTCTGAAGTAACTGAGGTGCACTTGGTCGCATTGAGGGATCAGAGGAGGTCAGTAGTTTAATATACTTGGCCAAAATTGGCCAGTTTGTGGACAGTGTGTTAGGGATCTTGCCCTGTCGTAGTTCTCCAAGTGTGTGAACACGCTCCATCTCGGTCCCAAATGGCTGGAATAACTCAAAGGCAATCACTCCTATGCTGTACATATCTGACTGCACAAATAAAACATAAACACTGAGCATAAAGTTTGACTAACACATCTTTAGTATGTGGCCAAGATGAAACTGAAGCACATTACATTAAGCAATACTAATAACAGGATAGACATAGAACTATATCAGTTTGTAACTTTTCTGCCTACTTGCCTTTGAATCATAGCGAGAGCCCTCAAGTTGTTCTGGGGCAGCGTACACAAATGTTCCCACTCCACTGGTGTGAGTTGCATCTGAAAAGAGCAATCAGAAATTGAGTAATCCAAAGCTGCATTAATTTACTGCTGCCATCTACTGTTCCCTGCCATTAAATCAGCAGTAGTTCGCCAGAAAAGGAACATAAAAATCTAATTGAAAGTGTTTTATTAGTTTAGAATGGACTATTTTTTACAAGCATTGATTATACATTTTTACAGATACTGTAAAACTCAAATCCTCACCAATCAATTGAATTTTTTATATCTTACAACTGCTGTTGTCTAGTACACTGGTTAAGAGAGTAACAGCAAATTTGACATATTGCTCTCATTTGGCCAAACGACTCATTCTTTCAATATTTGTACCTTTTCCTATAAATTCTGAGAAATTCTACTTTAGATTTTCTTTCCCATGCTATTAGGGAAAATGAAAATATGTTGTAGTTTTTAATTACTATAGAAGTTTGCTGAACTTTGACAACATGCACTTGACAATTATATATTATTATTAAATCTTTTTACATTGAAAATGGTCTTTTTGTAATAATTTAATTAAGTCATCATTCTCTTGTAAATACACAATAAGTCTGTCACCTGGGTTTACACCTGCTTGGGAACTGGAAGGCAACTTCTCATGTTCGTCCATTATAATGTTTTGGCAAGCCAATCCAAAATCCCCTATCTTCACATGGCACTCATTTCCAAGAAGGAAAATATTTCTTGGCTGTAAATAAAGGGAAAAAAAAACATAATTTAACTGAAACAAACAAATAACACAAATCACTGTCGTGTATTTGAGCAACCTTAAAATAGAATCATGTGGAGATTCTTCTAGCACTAAAAGCTTTTTATTTATTGTAAAAATGGCGCTTAATGTGTAGCTGTTATAAATATTGTTGTGGCCATTTAAGAAATTAACTTTATTTATTTTTTTATTGTAGTTATGTTTGAATATTACTTATGTGTTTTAATCAGTTCAATTTGTGAATTATGAAAGATGGCCAAGTCAAAACAGCATGGTAAATCGGTCAGCAGATCTCTTGAAGAAAGGGAGTGGTTAAGACACTTTTGACCACATTTGTGTTTGCAGAATCCTTTCTTTAAAAAAAAAAAACTTCATTTGATACAAGTTATATCCTAATTTTACTATATTTTTTGTCAGTCAGTTATCTACTAAAATAAACAAGGAGTAGACATGAATGTTTTAAATTTTACTCCATTAAATATTGGGCCTCTATCCTGTAAATAGAGCTAAATAAGGTCCATGTACAATATATATATATATATATATATATATATATATATATATATATATATATATATATATGTGTGTGTGTGTGTGTGTGTGTGTGTGTGTGTGTGTGTGTGTGTGTGTGTGTGTGTGTGTGTGTGTGTGTGTGTGTGTGTGTGTGTGTGTGTGTGTGTGTGTGTGTGTAAATTATGGTAAATTATGTCTTATCTGTTTGTAAAGACCATGTAACATGCTGTTATGCCATTTAATTTTAGATCCAAGTCTTAAAACAGTTATTATACATTATCAAATAAAACTTGCTTCCATGTCCAAAACAACAAATATAATAATAATAAAAATTATTACTATTAAATCACTGATAAATAAATAGTAATACAATATTCACATTAAATCACTGATAAAAAGGAGAGATTTATTTAGGAATTCCACAGGTAACCACCTTTTCTAGACTTTACTTTGTTTGTGAATAAATGCAAGGTTTGTTATAGTAAAAGCACAAGAAAGGTTGCTTTTAATTTATGTTACAGTAGGTTATAATTAGCTTTTTTTAAAGAAACCCCCGAAACAAAAAAACAAAAAAACAAAAAAAAACTCTTCTTAGAAAATTGTTGTCCCACACCCAACCAATATCTGTAAGCAAAACGAATGCTTCTACAGTATTTAAGACAAAAAAAAGCATTTGTATGCCAATAAGTGCACATTACCAAGTTAACTAAACCAACAACACAAGTACACATACCTTTAGGTCTCTGTGCATAATACCACAGGAATGAATGTACTCCACTCCTTCAAGTATTTTCTTTAAAATCTTTAATGCCTGTTCACAGTCAACTGAATCACAGGGATCTGCGAATGAAACACATTGGTTAAAAAGGCTTAAATAATTATAGAGGTGCAATTATGTACTCTGATTATATATATATATATATAAAACATCTAGCTTTTCTTGTTTTTTAGTTCAAGCATGTGTCAGCCAAGACATGTCAGGAAAAGGGTGTATAGAAGTAACTTCAGTACAATATACTTTATAGCAGGGCTGCCCAAACCTTATCTTTAATAAGGGCAAAAAAAACAAACTTGATTGAAGACTGTGGGCCAGAGTTGCATATACCAAACTGTATTAAATTAAATTTGCTATGAGTAATTTCCTAATTTATTTGCTAATTTTTTAAAAAATAACTAGAAAACATTGTTTTGAAACATTTATTTATTATACAGTATCATTTTTAACATTTTCTAATGAACTTATTATAGTAAAAACATAATTTGAAACACAATGGAGATCAATGCTGCACACTAGTCGATCTGCTCCTTTTCTTTGCCTTGATTTGCTTGCCAATGTCTTGTGCATCGTCCTCTATCTGTCAAGTGACAGTATTTACATTTTACAAATCTGATTCATCTGCAAAATTTAATTTTAGTTGGCTTTTTGTAGCTTCTCAATAAAAACAAAGATATAAAAGGTTATGTTTAATTGGATATGACGATCTCTGTCAAAGGCATTCACTTCAATCAACTCCCCATCATTCTCCCATTCATTTCAGATAGGATGGCGGGCCAAACCAACTTTAGCCCATGGACCCTACTTTGGTCACCTCTGCTTTACAGGTTATATAAATCACATAATAAGTGCACTAAAAAGAGTACCTACAAAATAGCCTTCATTCATACAGAGCAACTAATTCACCTCCTGACATCAAGAGTCCCTCCGTGGTCCTTGAATTTCTCTCTTGTATCCAGTCCTTCAAAGATCGTTCACACAGCTGCATTTGTATATAAAGCATTAAGTGGAACTGAACCTACAGACCATAATGAGAGAAAGTAATTAAAAACATAAAAGATTGCGAAATAATGACTTCACATGTAAATTAAATCAATTGCTTCATTGAGTGCTTAATGAAGCGTATACCTTGTTCTCCTGCTTTTCAGACCATTCGGGTGTGTCCATGTCAATGTAAGAGTGTTTGTTCAATTCCAGTCTGTTCTGACTGAGGTCATCCTCTGAGAGTGTTGAACTGTCCCAATTAGCAGCAGGGCATTTGTTTAACGTAGAGCGGGGTTTTCCCAGAAACACACATGGAACAAAATTCTGTGGCTTGCGGACATTTTTAGGGCAAACAGACTGTGCCATGTCCACTTTTGAAGTTGAGGGGTTTACCGAGATGCTCTCTAGTGCAACCTGATTTTCTTTCACTTCTGCCCGTTCAGAATGTTCAAAAACAATGAAAGATCCATTGCTGCTGTTGGTGTGTTCTGGAGTGCACCTGAAAGGAAGACGCTATTTTAAAATGCTGTAATGTGTCATGTAAATGTGTTACAATTAATTATTAACCAAAAAAACATCTTACCCATTTGGTTCTGAAGGTCTATCTAATGCTGGAAATGTTTGCGAAACAAGAGAGTTGGAATCTACTGGGTAAAAAAATTCTATGTAAGTTTATACCATTTTAGTGCAATTCCAAAAATACTGGATTAACAAAG